TAGGGGCGATCCTAGTCAAAATCAATTTTGTCACTTTTTTCTTCGAAGGTTTTTCCAAATGGATTGAAACTTTTTATAACTATTCAAATGCTTAAAACAAATACAAATAAAACATCCTAAAATTTTTTTGAGCAAAGAACCAAGTAGGAAATACATTTTCAATTTTGGACTAGGGGCGACCCTAGTCAAAATCAATTTTGTCACTTTTTTCTTCGAGGGTTTATCCAAATGGATTGAAACTTTGCATAAATATTCTAGTGCTTAAAACAAATACAAATAAAACATCCTAAAATTTTTTTGAGCAAAGAACCAAGTAGGAAATGCAATTTCAATTTTGGACTAGGGGCGACCCTAGTCAAAATCAATTTTGTCACTTTTTTCTTCGAAGGTTTATCCAAATAGATTAAAACTTTGCATAAATAATCTAGTGCTTAAAACAAATACAAATAAAACATCCAAAAAAATTTTTTGAGCAAAGAACCAAGTAGGAAATACATTTTCAATTTTGGACTAGGGGCGACCCTTTTTTCTTCGAGGGTTTATCCAAATGGATTGAAACTTTGCATAAATATTCTAGTGCTTAAAACAAATACAAATAAAAAATCCTAAAATTTTTTTGAGCAAAGAACCAAGTAGGAAATACATTTTCAATTTTGGACTAGGGGCGATCCTAGTCAAAATCAATTTTGTCACTTTTTTCTTCGAAGGTTTTTCCAAATGGATTGAAACTTTTTATAACTATTCAAATGCTTAAAACAAATACAAATAAAACATCCTAAAATTTTTTTGAGCAAAGAACCAAGAAGGAAATACATTTTCAATTTTGGACTAGGGGCGACCCTAGTCAAAATCAATTTTTTTCTTCGAGGGTTTATACAAATGGATTGAAACTTTCCATAAATATTCTAGTGCTTAAAACAAATACAAATAAAATATCCTAAAATTTTTTTGAGCAAAGAATCAAGAAGGAAATACATTTTCAATTTTGGACTAGGGGCGACCCTAGTCAAAATCTAGTTTTTCACTTTTTTTCTTCGAAGGTTTATCCAATGCATGAAATGTATTCCGAAATTTAAGCCGATCGGCTTATTATCGACTAAATTGAAATTCTGAGCTTCCTATAGCTACATGCTGACAAAATATTACACAGAATCATAGTAAAGCATGTAAAGTTCAATTTAAATACTTAAAATGGGTGTTAAATGGCTTTTTTCTTTAAAAAAAATCAAAAATTGAGTTAAGCCGAAAAAATCGGCTTCGATCTCTGAAAATTAGATGGTAACCCTAAGTTTGGCCGAGATTTGGACCGAAATCAGCTATACTGGTTCATAGTGTTCCCGAGGTTGACAAAATTCAAACTAAGTGTTTTTGTAGCTGACATAATTATGACATAAATTAGGTATAACTTTTGAACTGTGTCGTTATGGGTCTCGGCCGTACTTCACGCCCACCCTTCAAACTTTTGCTGAGCAAATCTTGGTCTATCCATAAGACTTTTGATGGTACGGTGTGAATATATCCGCATTGGGTTTCTACCCGATACACTAGTTGAATACATTGCAAACTTTATGACTTTAAATTACTTTGCTACACGAAATTTTGATGTAATTAGCATAGAGGGGGGGATTCAAATCATCTTTCCCAAGTGATTTATTTTTGATTTATGATTTATTTTAAATCATTTTGTATGGGGATTTTTTTTGGGATTTTAAATCACTTGAAGGTGAAAATTTGTATGGTTTTTTTTTTTATTAACACTTTTTAATAAAATTATACGATCTCCATTTGGGCAGCATCTTATCTACACTTTATACGTTAAAAATCATCTGCATTATACCTTTTTTAAAGCAACAGCATTTCATCTGCATTTTAGGGAAAATAAATTTCATCTGCACTTTAGCAGTACCATCTGCATCTTGGCAGTACTATCTGCATATTAGGGTAGCTGCATTTTAGGGATTTTTAGATTGAGGTCTCAAATCAGGGAAATAAAAATCACTCAAACAACCAACAAAACAACAAAATACTTTAAAAAAAAACTTTTTTTTAAAAAAGCACGCTTTTATTTCCGATTACAAATCACTAAAAAGGAGAAAATAATTTTTTTGCTAAGCTCTCAAATTTGATACAAAATTTTATGACTCAAAATAAAAGCGTAAGGCGTTAAATTTAAACTAGCTCTAGATTTTCCAAAATTTATTTTAATTCAGTTTAATTATCCATTTCTTAATCAACTTTTGTATTAAAACGAAAGACCTTTTAAAGTTTTGATCTCAAATTATTTTTTGACACAAAGGAACTAGTTAGATTTAGCAGGAGAGTAAGACTTAATCTCTAGTGCCACACAGAAAACTCTACATTAGTCTCATGGAGATCAAGTCTACCGTCTCAGATTTACCATAATTTGTAAGGCCTCATCATTCACCTTAGACAAACCTATAAACATTGAAGACCTAACGCTTATGTAAACATACAAATTCAAGATTTAGTGATATTTATAAGAGAAAATTTTGTATCAAATTTGAGAGCTTAGCAAAAAAAATTATTTTCTCCTTTTTAGTGATCTGTAATCGGAAATAAAAGCGTGCTTTTTTAAAAAAAAGTTTTTTTTTAAAGGATTTTATTTTCTACTTTTTAGTCTTATTAGATCTCCAAATCGATTCAACTTCCAAAATTTTAAACTTCACTTCGTTTCAGTCCGTTTCGTTCAACTATTTATTGATTACCAGTTTTTAATGGGTAATTAGTAAAGACTTTCAAAATTTTTCATTCGTTTTATATAACTTAATTCATACTTTGAAACACATTAAACTTTAAAAGTGTCCTGAACATCAAATTTAATTTTAATGAATTTCATTTATATGTTATGCAAAAATACGTCAAACTTGCGTCAAGCCGTTAATAAGAAAGTGAATTTAATTAAATGTTGGTGAAATGTTAAAAATCAATCTAATACTTTAAAAGCATATATATTATGCTCAAACGATGTGTGCTAAATGCATATTTGCATATCAATAGTTATTTTGTATTAAAAACGTAACTGACTTGCGCTTAACGCAAAAAAAATTACTTGTCAATTTTTTTGTCTTATCAGAATATCTGGGCTTGGTCGTTTGTTGAATAAGTGTCAGAAATCGAGAAGTTATGTTAAGTTTATTAAGCCATTCTAAATATAAAATAAAAATTATACAAATAATAAGTAAGGAACGTGTTACTAGATGGCACTGCAATTGCAGTTGGTAGAATTAAATTTCTTTAAAATTAATATAAATTGATGATGTAAAAGAAGAAGAAGAATATGTGGTGTGATAAATCGATCAAAAATTAGTTTGACGATTAAATTAACGTTCGAAAAAAGTTTGAATTTTACAACTGACATTTCATATTTAAATTTTTGTTGTTCTAAAATTTGTACTACTTAGTTTTCACTTTTTTCTCATTTCCTGGACATTTATATTTGTAAATAATCAGTAAGTATCATAGAGTTTTCAAAAACGCGTTATTTGACATGTATTTCATAACATAAGGAACTTTAATTAAGTCAAAAAACAGAAAAAAACAACCGATTTCTGACACTGAAAAAAAGTTCCATTATTTTGAATTTTCACAAAAAATACTAATAACTTTGCGAAAACTTCATTACAAGATACAAAAATCATACTCAATTGTTGGATTTTCAATTCTTTATAACCCTTTGCTATTAAAATCTTCAAAAAGATTGTTTAAATTAGTTAAATTAATGATTTTTCTGAAAAACTTTTTTCATAACGGTCAAAATTTGAATTATTCCATTCGTTTGTTTACATCACAAAAAAATATGCGAATTAAAAAAATCGTTTGAAACTCATTAATTACACATATTTGGAAGCTGAAAAATTAGGAACAGATCAAGAAAAATTTATTGGATGCATTACAATGCTCAAAAGAAAACATTGATATTAATTTAAACGATATTTTGCAAAGTAATTTTTCGTTTAATTGAAGGGGAAAGTATCAAAAATTGAATTTCAAAAAACCGTTGAAATTCAATGGAACTTTTTAGTCGACCGAGCTCATCTTTAATATCTCTTATAATGAATCATGTAAATGACTTATATATAATATTTTAAACAAATCTAAAGTGTTAAAATAATGTATTGTCACCGGAAATACGTGTACATAATAAATTTGAGATTGATTGTAGCAGGAGAAGTGATCGAAAAATCGATTACAAGATTTGTTGAAATGATGAAGATTCGTGGGAGGCGATCAGGAAAGGGATAAAGATAAAAGGAGAAAGGAATAAATACTAAAAAGGGCTTAAAGAGTACTTTTAAGTACTATAAAGATAATTAATAAGTAATAAAGATAAACATAAGGAAAGTCACCACGGAGGAGGTTACAGAAGACCAGTGGGAGCCATTTGAGGAGGAGCTAGCAGTGTGCTCAACCCCAAAGGTTCTGAAGGAAGATTCGTGGGAGGCGATAAAAGCAGTGATAGGGGAACGCGAAGTGGCATTACTTGCACATCTTCGTAACAGTTCAAACGTGCAAAAGGTAGAGAGAGAGAGGTTTTCCGGAGACGAGCTGCAAGACGACTCAACCCGTATCATAAATCTCAACAAGATTTGACGCTCCATAACAGAGTGAGTTAAATAAAAGCGTGTAATAGTAAAATAATAAAAAAATAGGAGAAAAGAAGACAAAAGAAAAAGGAAAAATCAAAGGAATAATAACAACAATCAACATCAAAAACCAAAGTAGGATGTTTAAGTTATAGACTCAGAAGACATTGGTCCACCAAGTCAGATTACGGATGAAGTCTTTTCTGAACCTTCATTAATATGCAAATGTGCATTTAGCACACCTGGTTTGCGCATTAAATGTATGCTGTTTTAATGTATTGCACTATTCTAAAAACATCACCAAAATTTATATAAATTGACTATTCTATTTATTGATGGCTTGTTGATGTTTGCATAACATATGCATTACCAATATATATATATATATACATTCAATACCTTTCCTTTCCTTATTATATATTTAACTCTAAAGCTCTTTGTAATGAAAACAAAATATAAATTGTTTACAATAATTAATAAAAAATGATAACAACAATTTGAAATTTAACATTCCAATAAAATAATGCATTTTACTTCAACGAACGGTCAAGATACAACGTCACGGTCAAGTTTAACAGTCGATTCATTTCAGTAAAACAATAACGTGTTTGTCGCAAGCAAGTTGTTCCTCAAGCTGTCGAGTAGAACTTGATGTTTTCATGCAGATTTCATCTGTGAATATGGAGAAATTTAAAAATTATTTACAAGAATTTTTGTGTCAATGCATTCCTTAAAAACTAATAAAAGATTTATAGATCAACTATTAACACATTTATTTAATTAATACTAACACACTTGTGTAGTAGACTATTACCGCATTTTTGAAAACTTGTTTTCGAAAAGCACTATGAGGCAAAATTGAAACTAGAGAAGAAGAGGTGATCACACGTGATCGACCGAAGCGCGTTTCCCCCGCACAGAATTCGAGTAGAAATTAAAATTAAAACAAAAACTTAAAACATTTGAAAAATAACGGTCAAAAATATTTGAAAAAAAAACGGCTGAAAATTATTTGAAAGAAAACGCTCAAAAATTATTTGAATAGTGGCTTCTTGAAAATATTTGAAAAGTAACGGAAACGTTCAAAACAAAAGTCAAATTAATTTTACATGAATTTCCAACCCTTGAAATCCAAAATGGTGTCGGTTCCATATTCAGGAACAGCAACTTAAAATCCATGCCAAATTTCAGCTCAAATGGACAAAAGATGCAAAGGTTATGACAAAAATGTTAAACTTGTATGAGAAATGTATGGAAAAAATAATAAAACTCCGTGAAAAACTCGGAAAATGTATGGAAAATTTTTTCCATAAAACATCATTCTCTATCAAAAAAGTGCAAAATAGAATAAAAAAATTACAAAAGTCCTCGTGTTATTGATCGAGGGACTTCAGCGCATTTTTGACGAAGCGATCAGTATTTGATTATAATTAATAATTTGCTGCAATGAATTTCCATATAGAAAAAGTTTATCATTTAACGGTTTTTTAAAATTTGAAATTTTACAACGGCTAGAAAAAATTTGAAATTATAGAGGTAAATTTGAATTTATAGAGGTAAAACAAAATTTGAGCAGGTTACACTGAAAACAAAACAAAAACTCATTAATTATAGCATAAATACACTGCTTGAAGACTTTTAACTGTTCGATCGGACAATAAACAATAGTAACGGAGCTAATAAAACAAATCCGAGCTCTCTACGATGTCTGGTTGCAAAGTTTTTATGCTTGCCCGAACGAACGAACAAAGTGTATTATTGAGCTCCCTTTTCGAAAACAAGTTTTCAAAAATGCGCTAAAAAGTTGCTCGTTGTGAGGCTTGAACCAGCGACCTGAGGATTGTAAAGAAGTCACATTTTTATGGGCTGCGTAAAATATGCGTACGAAATATTCTTGAAAAGAAAAAGAACTTTTATATTCGTGCCCTTGTAAGTTACAATAATATTACAAACTTCATAAGAAATGCAAGCTCTATAAGTTCATTTAAAACCAGACTCAAAGAATTTATTTATGAATCATTCATTAATGAACAACCGTTGTAATGAGCAACTACCTAATGTTGATGCTTACTCTATATTATAAAAATTAATTTAAGTATAAAAAAGCAGAAATGCTAATATATTATAATGAATCAACTAAATAAAAAAAAAAAAGAGTACTTTTACTTTGATTTTGCAATTTTTTCGAATTACGATCTCAAGTGGAGTTTTTCTTGTAAAGGACATAAAACCTGACTTCCATGCCAAATTTCAAGTCGTTTGGTGCTGTTTCTGCAATTTTATGGCTGTTTGAAGTCGGAAAAAAACAGATTTGTTCACTCCAACTTTGAAGTCAAAACTCTTTGCAACGGTTAACTAAAATAAAAAACGGTTTTCAGTTTTTAATAGTCCTATATAAGAACTATATTTGGTGAAGTACATAATGTTTTTCGATAACATTTTTGTACTCATATGGTAGTAAAGGTATGAAAATTCTAGGTAAAATATCTTCAAACACGCCGCAACTATCTTAAATGACGTCTACTTAGGGAGTAAAACTATATCATCATAAAGCCCTTGATTTCTGGTTTTCAAAACTGTATAAAGTAAGCCATATTTGATCAAAATCGAAAATTTCTCATAAAAATTACAAAAGTGGCCATTCACGCCACTTTTATTATGTTACGCAAAAAAACGACTTTTTTCACACCCCCCCCCCCCTTTGTTACAATAATGTACAACTCACAACCCCCCACCCCTGAACGTTTATAATTTATTTTATTTTGATAATTTTTTAATCTAAAAAGACGGTTAAATTTCTTTTGTATTTTTTTTCTTATACATCAAAATACTGTACATCTAAATAGGTCATGTTTTGATTGATATTATTAGTATTCTCATGAATTATTGGATTGAGATATAAAGCAAAAATTTGTTTTTTTTTTTTTGAAGAAAATTCAAAAATATTATGCCCGATCGAATTTTGGAAAATTCAATCAACTTTGAATGTAAATATCACAATTATGGGATCATATTAATCATCATATGAATGACAGATTTAGAGAGATTTATTTTTAAACTTATGATTGAAATTTTGAAAATTTCTACAAATTATGATTGTATTTTAAAGTCTTGTAAACCAGTTTTCTATTGATTTGTTACTTTATATAACAAAAACTATGTATTGCTTAGCTATCAAAAGAGATCTGGACATTTGTAAATCATTTAAAAGGAGGAAAATTTAAAAAAATGAAAATGTTTTTGGTGTGAATTTGTAAACAAATTTTTTTTGTGAACTTTTTTTTAAAAGACAGACGACAGTTTGAACGTTACATACTTTGGATTTTCATTCATTTGCTACCATTGCGGCACCAAAACTATAAATTAAAAAACTTTGTGATACATCAAAATAAAGCTCTTACGTAAGAGCATACAAAGAGCATGCTCAGAAAAGTGAGCATATAAATGAGTTCACTCAAAAATTATACTCATGCAAGCTCATTCAACTGAGCATGCTCAGGAGTTCATTACGAATGTACTCACTTTATTTTTTTGCAAAAAAAATATAAGCTCACGTGAGTACATTCAACGAGTGTATTCATGAGAATATTAAGAACCTACTTATGTGAATATACTCGTATGAGTTCACTTACTGAATGTACTCATGAGCATATAATGAGCAAACTCACTTCTGTGTCACACAATTTTTTTTATATTCTCATATGAGTGCACTTACTGAACATTTTCATGAGAATATTAAGAACATACTCACTCCTGTGTGACACAATTTTTTTTATATTCTCATATGAGTGCACTTACTGAACATTTTCATGAGAATATTAAGAACATACTCACTCCTGTGTGACATAATTTTTTTACGTTCTCATATGAGTGCACTTACTGAACATACTCATGAGAATATTAAGAACATACTTATGTGAATTCACTCATATGAGTTCACTTACTGAATATACTCATCAGCATATAATGAGCAAACTCACTTCTGTATCACACAATTTTTTTTATATTCTCATATGAGTGCACTTACTGAACATTTTCATGAGAATATTAAGAACATACTCACTCCTGTGTGACATAATTTTTTTACGTTCTCATATGAGTGCACTTACTGAACATACTCATGAGAATATTAAGAACATACTTATGTGAATTCACTCATATGAGTTCACTTACTGAATATACTCATCAGCATATAATGAGCAAACTCACTTCTGTGTCACACAATTTTTTTTATATTCTCATATGAGTGCACTTACTCTGATACGAACAATTCAAGAGTTTCGACCGTTACAGTTTCCAAGAAAACTTGTGAAAATGTCTTATTTGTCTGTCTGCCAATCAAAATTCGAAGTTTCATACCCTGCAGTTCGAAATTTTCGAAATTTACAAAAAAAATAAAAACTTAAATTAAACAAGTTTTGTATGAAATCTAGATGAAGCTTTTGTGTGGTCGTTAATGATAAGCATAATATAGCTTTTTCTTTTTTAAAACAATCAAAAACTCCAATAAAATCATTAAAATTGTAACGGTTTTTTTCAAATTTAAACTTTTCGAACGTACATATTATAACTCCCCTAGACTTTCGATAAGTCTGTCGAACATGAATTGTTCGTATCAGCACTTACTGAACATTTTCATGAGAATATTAAGAACATACTCACTCCTGTGTGACATAATTTTTTTACGTTCTCATATGAGTGCACTTACTGAACATACTCATGAGAATATTAAGAACATACTTATGTGAATTCACTCATATGAGTTCACCTACTGAATATACTCATCAGCATATAATGAGCAAACTCACTTCTGTGTCACACAATTTTTTTTATATTATCATATGAGTGCACTTACTACATGTACTCATGAGCATATAATGAGCAAACTCACTTCTGTGTCACAGAATTTTTTTTATATTCTCATATGAGTGCACTTACTACATGTACTCATGAGCATATAATGAGTAAACTCACTTCTGTGTCACACAATTTTTTTATATTCTCATATGAGTGCACTTACTGAATGTACTCATGAGCATATAATGAGCAAACTCACTTCTGTGTCACACAATTTTTTTTATATTCTCATATGAGTGCACTTACTGAATGTACTCCTGAGCATATAATGAGTAAACTCACTTCTGTGTCACACAATTTTTTTATATCCTCATATGAGTGCACTTACTACATGTACTCATGAGCATATAATGAGCAAACTCACTTCTGTGTCACAGAATTTTTTTTTATATTCTCATATGAGTGCACTTACTGAGTTTATTCAAGAGCAAATTGTGTACCTTTTTTAAAAAAATGTCAGCTAAATCGAAAACGTTAAAATAATGATTTTTTAAGGAAGCTGACGTTTTTTAAAAATGTCAGCTAAATCGAAAACGTTAAAAATGGTGCTCAATAAGATCCAAACATCAAAGAACTTAGTTTGCCTGTAAAAATATAATAATTTAAGTATGTGTTATGCCATTTATAAATTATTATATATTTACAGACAATAGCTCCAAGGAAAAGTGTGAGATGACAGAAGTTAAGCAACGCAGAAGATATTTCAATAAGGATGGGTGACCAGATTTATATGTTTCATTCTAAGTATTTGAGATAAAATATTAATAATTTCTAACTCTTTCAAAATTATTCACAGAAATAAACGGAACAGTACTTAATTTCAGCTATCCTATATACTCAAATTTAGCTTAATTAATTTTTTGAATTTTGCAACTTCACTTGAGTGCACTCATGAGTGTGCTCAGATGAGCATATACTCATAAATATACTCACTAAGTATATATTCTTTGAGTACGTTTATGAGTATGTACTCTTTGAGAATATTTATAAGTATGTACTTTTTGAGAATGTTCATGATATTCAATAAAAATGTTGCATGTGCCATGTTACCTTCTCATTTGAGTATGCTCATGAGTTTACTCAATGAGCTTAATTTATGTCACACAGGAATGTACTCATTGAGCATGCTCAAACAGGTACCGTAAGCGCATCACTGAAACGTATGAAAATGAGCACATTCTCACAAAAGCTATCAAGCTCACAAATAATGTGCTCTGAGTATGCTCATTGTATGTTCGGATACTAAACACTATTAGGAACTGAAAACCATTTTTCAATATCTTCAACCAATTGAGAGTTATTTCAGCTCAAATAAGACGTGAAAAAACCGATTTTTCACACATTTTCAACTTCAAACAGCCACAAAATCACGAATATAGCACCAAATGACCTGAAATTTGGCGTGAAAGTCAGTTTTGTTATCTATAACAAGAAAAAATAACCCTGAGATCGCAATTTCAAAAAGTTAAAAAAAAATTCGAATGACTCTTTTTTTAAATTTTGCCCCATAATGCAGACATTGTAGCGAGCTCGGGTTGGTTTTATTAGTCAAAAATTCGTAATTATAAATTATATTCGGATACATCTGCAAATGGCCTAAATTTGTCAAAAATTAAAGTTTCAAGTAAATTTAAGTTTTTTATACAATTTTTTTTTCTATTTGACTAAAATGTTGCATTTTGCTAAGAAAGTTTATGAAATGATTTGAAGATTTTTAAACCCGTAATCCGCCAATTTCCTAATTCTAAAATAGGGTTGGATCCCGAGATTGAAACATCTAATTTTTGTTTTTAATCAAATACTGATCACTGGATCAAAAATGCGCTGAAGTCCCTCTATCAAGTTTACGAAGCCTTTTATTTTTTTTTTAAAAAAGAAGACTTAATTAAAAATTTTTGATTCTATTTAGTTTAATTACAAAGAAATTTTAACAACAGTATATAATTTTAAAATTAAAAAAAAAATGAAAATTTTGTGTGAATATGATATATAATTAATTAAAATAATACCATACCTAAAGTTTTTAATCCTGTAAAAGAATTTCGCGTGACCTTTACATTATCCAAACTTTGCCGTTTATATGATATAGGAATGCCAAGAGTATTATTAAATGAATTTTGTTTTTTATAATCATCATATCCCACGAAAAGATTTTTATTTACCGCAACTGGATATTTGAAAATTGGTCTAATTAATTGTTCAACCAGTCCAAATAAAACCGTTTTTCTTTCATCAATATTATGTTTAGCCGGATTAAATCGAACACATAACTCTCCTAAAGTGGCACCATGAGTCATTGAAGCGAATAATAAAAGAATATCTCTTATTTTTGCTTTTTTTAATTCCGACTTAGAACATTTCTCAATGGCACGTTTTTGGACATCTGGTGATTTTGCTAGTTGTTTAAGCTTTGGAGTGGGTCTATAAATGTTAGAATATTGAAAAACAGGTACTAATACGCATACATCTAACAAAACCAAATGCTTAACACATTGAAGCACAATTGTAATCGAAACATCCGCCAGGTATGCTATTCGATTTATATGACGAAATCCATTTAAATAAGGAACAATCTATTTTGCAAAGTTTGGAAGAAAAAAAATTATAGGTAACAAAAAAAAAATCATATGATGAAAAATAAAAACCTTTTTGGTTGTTAAATCCCAAGAGTCGAAAGAAAAATTTTCAAAAAAACAATCAAGCAAAACTGGTGCCATGTGTGAAAATTCGCCCATCTCATCAATTTCGTTCAATTTATCATTATAATATGGCACAACACACAAAGGAAGAACATTTTGTTCATCCAATAACATACAGCTACCATATTCATTAATTTCTGACCGAATGGAATTCAACATGGTTTCAAGTCTTTTGGATTTTTCAGCATCAAGTTTAGATAAAAATTTCGTCGACAGCTCCAAAGAAAGCTTTATAATTAAAAAAAATATACATAAACATATATTAATATAATGATAAAATGGAATAAAATCTCAAGTTCGATACTGACCAAATATTCCGTAAATTTTTTAATTATACTTTCAAAGCAAAAGGTTCTGGTGAAATTTTCAAAAACAAAACATAAGTTGAAATAAAATGCATTCCGAACATACGTCTTGTTGTCAATTTTAATTGGGAAGCCGAGTATTTTGAGATTATTAAGTGAGATACTTATGAAACAATATGCTAGTTGAACTTTGGGTATTACATAATTTGATACTTTATCTAAGATTAAATTAGTTATTCAAGTTATTAGTAATTTATCATCATAATAATTATTTTAAATTTATTAAGATTTGTTCTTTAAAAGGTAAATTATGTTTTAAAAACATTTTATTTTCATTTTCTCATGCAAAAAATAAATAAAGTCGAAAGTTAAACTTGAGTACGTAGACTCTTTAGGGGCCGTTCACTTATTACGTTACGGAAGAAAACGACTTTTTTCACCCCACCCCTCCCCCCTTGTTACAATATGTTACAACTCTCACCCCCCCCCCCCCCCCCCTGAACGTTCATAATTTATTTTATTTTGATAATTTTTTATTCTAAAAAGACGGTTAAATTTCTTTTGTATTGTAAACATCAAAATACTGTACAGCTAAATAGGTCATGTTTTGATTGATACTAGTATTCTCATTAATTATTGGATTGAAATATAAAGCAAAAAATTTTTTTTTTGAAGAAAATTCAAAAATGTCATGAAAAATATTATGCCCGATCGAATTTTGAAAAATTCAATCAACTTTGAATGTAAATATCACAATGATGGGATCATATTAATCATCATATGAATGACAGATTTAGAGAGATTTACTTTTAAACTTATGATTGATTTAATTTTAAGCAGTTAAGTGCCTTGCTGGTCGTATAGGTAAGGCGCTTGGCTCAAATTTGGGATGGTAACTCGAAGGTCGTCGGTTCGAATCCAGCCATTTCCAAATTTATTCTTTTTCGGAAGTTTAGATACTTCGACTGCTTAATGTAGGAGATCAAGCCATAATTGGGCATTTGGGCAACGTTGGATTAAGGAACGGGTCAGGAACTTGAAGTGTAGCGGGAGAAATAGGAACGAGAGCTACAAGATTACCCACGAATGGAATATTGTTAGAACGGACCTGAAAAGTATTACGTCACGCCCTCAGAAGATCGAAACGAGAGCCTTAGTTTATTTGAAACCTAGATTTGAAGATTAGAAGCTTGATCCTACATAATACTAATTCATATGTATAAAAATACAAAAGTGTAAAATGTGAATTATTACCGGACAGTATGTCGTCAATAAATGCAATAAAGTGCAATTAAAAAATGAAAAAAAAAAAAAAAATTTGAAAATTTCCACAAATTATGATTGTATTTTAAAGTCTTGTAAACCAGTTTTCTATTGATTTGTTACTTTATATAACAAAAACTATGTATTGCTTAGCTATCAAAAGAGATCTGGACATTTGTAAATCATTAAAAAGGTGGAAAATTTAAAAAAATGTTTTTGGTGTGAATTTGTAAACAAATTTTTTTCGTGAACTTTTTTTTAAAAGACAGATGACAGTTTGAACGTTACATACTTCTTGACACCTTCCCCCTCCCCCACCCCTATGTTACATTTGGTTACAATTTTTCAAGCTCAGACTGTTATATCTTTGAGATATGTTTATTAACTGATTTTCATATCATGTTTACTATGATTTTGTTATTATACAACATCTCCCCCTTTAAGTTAGTCGATATCTTTTCGTTGGTTGTGGTATTCTCGATGATCTTCGTAGTTGTGGTTGATTTATGATAGCTGGACTAACGTTGTTTTGTTGAGGAGTTGCAGCAGTTGCATTTGGGACTTGAGGTGGTTGCAATGAGTCGAAAAAACTTTCAATGAATGAATCATCATCGCCTATACTATTCCTTTCCTCAAGGTTAATCATATTGCTGCTTTTGTTTAACCTGAGAAACTTTGAGTTTCTCCGAAAAATGGAACCATTACTAAGCAAGATCTCATAAGATCTGGGTTGTTTACATTTAGCAATGATTTCTCCATCTTTCCAAGTATTGTTTTGCAATTGAAGCCAAACTTTATCGCCAACAGAAAATTCCCCTCGCGGAAAAACATTTTTATTATAGTAAAATTTGGCTTTTAAGTTCTTATGCTTCAACTTTTCTTCCACATTCTTATTTAAGCGTGGTTCTAGTGATTCGGTTTTTGTGACTATTTTTGTTCTCATACGACGATTCTGTGCCAGTTGTGATGGAGACAAGTCTAAATCTCCCAAAGGTGTGTTATTGTAATTCATTAAAGCTACACACAACTGGTCACTATTTTTCGTCTTTTTCATCATGTTTTTAACAATTCCTACAGCCTTTTCTGCTAAATCATTTGACTGTGGATAATGCGGACTTGATGTTATGATTAGAATATCCCATTCATTAGCAAACGATCTACATTCACTCGAATTAAATGGCATGTTATCAGATATTATTTCTCTAGGAACGCCATGATCTGCAAATATTTCTATCCACTTAGAAATGATCGAACTCGAATTCTTGGATGGTAAATATTTGCAGCAAATCCACTTGGAAAAATAGTCAATCAACACTAAATAATTTTTTCCATGCAATTCTAAAACATCACATCCAACCTTTTCAAAAGCTCTAGGAGGAATCTCATGCTGAATAATTGACTCTTTCCTATTCGATTCTGCAAACGTGTTGCATAATTCACAAGAACCAACAAGATTCTCTATGCTCTGTGCCATACTTGGCCAAAATACAGACTCTCTAGCGAATTTCAAGGTTTTAGTCATTCCCATATGACCTTCATGCAAATCACACAAAACTTTTTCACACAAAGACTTAGGAACGATCAATCGATCCTCAAAGAAAACTAATCCCTGCGATACATAAATCTCATTTCTCATTTTATAATAAGACTTTACGTTGTCTGGAACTTTCGACTTATCAGTCGGCCAACCTTTACTGTAATAATCAGCAAGAAACTTTAAATCACTGTCCTTATCAGTTTCTAACTGATACAATTTTAACTTTTTATCTCCTATGCTCAGTGTATGAACCATTTGTTTCATCACTTTTTCTTCATAGTCTTTATCAACGTTACAACTTGTGTAACGAGATAAATAGTCAGCAATGGGAATCTTACTACCTGGTTTATAGTCTAAATGCAAATCATACTTATAAAGCTTAAGACGTAATCTTTGTAGTCTTCTGGATCCTATCTTTTACAAATCTTTAAGAATGATACTCTCAAGAGGCTTATGATCCGAATTCACAATCACACGACGACCATAAACATAATCATGAAACTTTTTGCACCCAAAGAATACTGCCAAAAATTCTTTTTCAATCTGTCCATATTCTTTCTCAATATCAGACAAACATCTAGATGCATAACATATGATATTTTCACCTTGCTTCAAACATGCACCCAAACCATTTGACGATGCATCCGTTTCAAGCTCTAAAGGTATTTTTTCATCGAATAAAGTACAACAAGCTGAATCTTTTATAACACATTTAAGATTCTCAAATTCAACCTGATGTTGAGCTTGCCAAACAAATTCGCATATAATTGACAACACCTAAAAATTTCTGAACATCATTTTTATTAGTCGGAACTGGAATGTCCGTGATTGTTTCAATTCTAGCTTTTTTGAACTTTTTTCGAATTGAACTTAATGCCATTTTCTCTGGCTCTTAGCATAACTGCTCTAACATTTAAGTCATGCTCTTTTAAATCCTTTCCAAAAATAATAATGTCGTCAATATAAAATTTGACACCTTTCAAATCTCCAAAGGTATCATACATATATTTTTGGAAAGTTTCTGAAGCTATTTTGATGCCGAAAGGTAAACGATTAAATTGGTACATCCCAAACGGAGTGCTAAAACTGCATAATTTCATAGAATCCTCGTCTAATTCAACATGCCAAAATCCATCTTTTAAATCTAAAACAGAAAAGAATTGAGCATCCTTTAAATCCTGCTTCAATTCATCAAGTGATGGAATTGGATAACGAAAATTCTTAAGGGCATTATTCAAGTGTTTGGGATCCATACAAATTCTTACTTTATCAACTTTCTGAACAATTACAATATTATTAATCCATTCACGCGGTTCATTCACTTTCTCAATCACACCTGGATTTTCCATCTCATTCAATTTATTTTGGACTTTATCCTTTAATTTTAATGGAATTTTACGAGGTGCCGCGGCAAATGGAATAGCTTTTTCATGTAAATATAATTTGAAAGGCTTCTTAAATTTACCTAAACCTTCAAAAACATCCTTATAATGCTGTTTAAACTTAAGTAAGCTTGAAGCTTAACCTTACTTGGAATGATTTCAAAATTTTGCTTAAAACTCTTCACTATTCCTTCAGTAACTGTATTAATTTGTGCTCCTGTATCTAATTTAAATTTAACCAACTTGTCACTAATTTTCAAATTCTTATACCAAATCAGACTACTTACGTACTTGACTGAATCAGAACTAACAATAAACTCTTCTTTGCTACTATTCTTGTTTTTCATTGCACCAACCTTTCCTCCTTCTTTACATACTGCTTCGCTACATTCAAGCTGATTCTTTTCTTCCTTCAAGTTTGCCAATTCATCGATCTGCCATTCATGGAAACGCACTTTCTCAATTATAGCATGTAATGAAAATTCTCCTTCAACAATTAATTTTTCTTGCATTTTTGAATTTTTCATTCCGATCACCAACAGATCTCTAATTTGTTCTTCTTTCTCCTTGAAGTCACACTTTGTAGCCAACTTTCGAACTCTTGACACGAACTGAACAAATGTCTCTGATCGTCTTGGAACGCTTGATAGAACTTCATCCGATTCACGTAAATGCTTGTTTTCAGTCTAAAGCAATTTTCGTAACCATTGATGACTTTTTCAAAACAGTTCTTATCCTCTTCAGACAATCCTAGATGATCAAACAAGTCAGCTGCATCATTTCCAATGAGTAACGTCAGATATGAAATTTTGATTTTGTCGTTTTTGCTGTTAATTTCGTTGATTTCAAACAAACAGTTTATTTGACTCTTAAATCTCTTCCATTCATCACTCAAAGAGTTTGCGTTTAAGTCGATTGGAGTCACCAAATCACTGATTTTCTGCTGCGCCATGTTATATCTTTGAGATATGTTTATTAACTGATTTTCATATCATGTTCACTATGATTTTCTTATTATACAACACAGACATTACTA